CGTGCCCGTCGCCGATCTAAAGCCAATAATTCGGATTCCTTTTTAATTCAACGCACATTATTTGGAGGTTCTTGTGCTTAAGCAGTACAAAACTCAGTCTTAAACAAGTTTAAGAGCAAACAACTGACTGCTACAAAGTATGTATATATATCCTCAATAGGCTTCAACTGGGTACTAAACAGCAGCGCTATTGCAAGAAACTCGTTGAAGGATGAGTTGGCTGGACAAAGGGCAATGCGGTGTTATCGAGGAAGAAAATAGCAGGATGAGCTTTGACCACACGTGGACTACACTAGGTCTCATGTAAACTCAGCGAGCTCAGGGACGGTAAAGGTGAACTTCTGACGCTCACAAAACACAAAAAAATGCTTGAAATTTTAGTCACGCTAGTCGGAGAGGGTTAAGTGTAGAGGTTGATCGGGATTTTGACTTCAACTAATGAGTAGAAAACTGCCTAGAATCATGCTGAGGATTTTGAAGATAACTAATCTAAAATAGTTACTATTCTTTTCATTTTCGAAAACTTTTGGTCAATGGGTGATGAAAGCACGAACCCATATACATAATACTATATATGTGCAATATATGAAATCAGTTTGTGTGTGCGTCACATTGGCATTCCGTATTCATTGGCCGTAATTCAATATTGACAGCAAGCATTAATTTGGCTGTATAATTAAAATCGGATATTCTCAACCAAAATTATGGCAAAATATTCGCCCAGCTAATTGATGCACAAAATTCAGTCAAATGAAAGCATATTTGAGGTTGTAAGTACATACATACATACATGCATGCATATGATGTACATACGAGTATAAATACACATGCGTATGTACAGAAATGCGGTCATAAATCGCTATATAGTGAATAGTTATATATCCTGCGAGTATTACTTAAGTTGTGGTGCATTTAAATGCGAACATTTGTTGTACTCTGTGGGAATTTTGCTTAGTTAAATTGCAGTTTATGAGTGGAGGTGAGAGTATGAATACATAAATAGATTGCTTGAATGGCGTGAATATGTAGTTCCTTTGGTGCAGCCTATGTGTAGTGTGGTGTCTAGGTATCCAATTTTTGGCTTTCGCATTTTCGCATCAAACAGTGAACGGCCTCATTAAAAAAAATAAATAAAATAAAATAAAAAAGTTCGCTACGCGAAGATCCAATATTCGCAACGATATTTCTTGCCAGAAAAAGTGGAACAGTTCGCCACTGGTTGCATTTCCTTCAAGAGTTTTAGAGAAGTGATGTGTTCTTAATAGCATCGTTCAGTTAACATTTCCTAAAATAATCTCTGAAAAGGGGCAAAGGTCGCACATAATTTTAGATAAGGGCCAAAGTGTTTTCTTTTCACCATGAAAGTTGGCAAGGGAGCTTTTGTTTGCAAGACCTTTTTGCTAGAATAAACCAAATCTTTCAAACTATCTTGCCTACCGTCTTTAAATTGTCTTACAAAAACCTTCCAACTATCTTAGCCAGAATTGCCTTGCAAGCTGGAAGTCAATCTCTGTTAACCAACGTACATAGTACACGCAGAAAATATTTCTCAAAATTAATGATCTTACTAACATTTGCACCTTCCATCTATTCGCATCAGTTCATACAGTCTCGTTTGAGCCTTCCCTATTTGAGCTACCCTTTGTCACTCTCATCCACAGTATTGCCCTAAATGAGTAGTTAAAACATCAATCAATGGTCAATCAATTTTATCCACCGATTCGCTTCTGCTGTAGCGCCTCATCGAATATAAAGGTTTACCGGCTACATGTTTACAAAATTGATATGTATGTCATTGTGTGTGGAAATGTCAACTTCTGAGTTGCAGTGAGCTGAAGGCAGTGAATCAAGTGAGGGATGAGCAATGCAATTACAATTGAAATGGTGGGTAAGAATGACGTGCAAAACTTTTTGATGAGCATATTTACGTTTCACACACTCGGATAGGCGAATTAAGCTGTTTGCAAAAGCAAAGCTTTAATTACCGTTTGGCCAACTTAGCGACCCAGCGTATACAATGTCATTAAATTTTCTTATTTTTGCATGTTTAAATTTTTCCCAAATATAACCGGTCATAATAACCATTGCCTCAAATAAACGGAGCTCATATTTAAAGTGTCTGTATCACACACATTCCTTCTTAACTAATATTTCCATCATCAATCAATGACCAATCGATTTCACCGAATCCATTGGTGTTTCTCACTTAGTGTTCCATGCCTAGATGAGCCGCTCAACTATACAACCTTCAACTATGCATTTACTAACTAAATTGAAACATCAGTGGTAGAGTGAATGTCAATCGTTGGCAGGTCAAAAGGGTAAACTGATTGAGGAATTGACGCAATTGCTACCATTCGGACGAGCTAATAATAATGGTGTTGGTGTACGAGAAGTTTATGGCGGTCGCCACGCACGAGTGTGTTTGTGCTTGGCATGTTGAGTGTATGTAGATCCCTGGTTCGATGCCTACTCAAAGAGACGAGAAATTTGTTTCCCAAATTTTTCTTTTTGTTAGGGAAATACATCCAATTGCTGGAGGAGCATTTCTGCAACAAAGGGAAAATTAAAAAAAATTTCATTTACGTTTTCATAGCAAGTTTTTTCTTCAGATTTTGTTCGGCGCAAGAAGCTTGGCCTGAATGTCTTTCAATTTAAACACGTTCATCAGTTTCTTTCTAAAACTATTAAGAAATTTGTTTGGATAAATTTTCGATGTGCACATGTACAATTCGCATACCCGAACAAGCCAATTAAGTTGTTTGGTAAAAGTTTTAATTATATTTTGGTCAAGTTTACCGATCTGTGTAAACAATACGAGAAAATGCTCATGCATAAATGCAGCTTGAAAGACAATGATTTGCTTAAAGTTTAAGCATGTGCAGATATATGTATGTAAATAGGAAGGTATGTTTGTACGTAGGCACATGTGCGAAAGCTCCTAGCCAACAGATAAAATGGCGTATAAAAGCGCACTGATTGATGATTTTCCGGTGAAAGTGCGAAAACTTTGTGAAAGGTTCAGACAACAAGTGGATAAAGGCTACGGTAGAGTAAGCGACTAACGGAAGAATAATTATTAGATAAAAGCTACAGATTGAGTTGCTTTGTGCGTTTAGATAGAGAGCTATTAAATGCTTTTTGCTGAAGAAATATAATTTGAAGAATGTAATATTTTGAATAGATCGAAAAGGGGTAGACTACCTGGCAGCCCTGAGAAAATATTACGCAAGTGAAATTCTTATGTGGAAAGCTTGGTTTGGTATATAGCATAAGAAAACGTTGATTGATTGATTGATTTTTTCAGTTTTTAGGAGATCTAGACTTAAGAAGTTTCGTGTTAGCTCATCTGCCATTTCGTTGCCATGGATGTTGCGGTGACCGGCACCTAGAACAGAAGAACGCGATACCGAAGATCTAAGTTTCTTACCTACTTCTGGCACTGCATATATTACAGGGCTTAATGTAACAATGTCGGATTTTAGAACACTTTTTTTGTGCTAGCTGGCTTTTTGAAAAATAGCAAGATTTGTCCTGCGATGGTTGTAGGCTATGCTATTTTTATAGATCCCAGCATCCGCTGAACCCAATGAACTTTCTATATCCAGGACTACTACTCCAGTTGATTTGCCTTTTTAGTGAGGACTAGAGTGTACAAGTTTTTTCCTAGCCAAACTTTTGGGCAGAAATATTCTGCTTTCCCATTTATCTATGACTTGTTGAATTACGGCCATTGTAGACGAGTTAGAGAAAAAGTCTTCGCCCTTTGGCAGATCTCCGAGTATATTTAAGCCACAAAAAATATTCTCACAAAACTATATTTTCCATTCGGAGGCAGCGTCAATTTGAGGTCCTTTCATTTGCGTTGGAGGAGAAGCTCGGCCATATATTTGGCAAACGTGTAAGCGCCAATTTTTTTTTTTTAATTTTAATTTTTTTTTTTGTTGGAAGATTTTAATATACGTAGGTCTATAATATTTATTTCTAGTGTTCCGATACCCTTGATCTGAAGCCACGTTTTAAAGAAGCTTATTTGATAAATTGATTTAGGGCCAATTTCAGATCAGAAAATAAAATGGCATTTAAGTTAATTTTGAATTCAATTTTGAATTCGTATTCAAACTCAGATTCACATTTTCTTCATTTAAATAGCCTACATTAGGCATTCAAATACAGTTGAAATATTTGATCGGAAACGTATGCATTGGCACTTAAATTTCTCATCTGTTTTTGTTTAAATTTTTTTTTTCTCGAAGAACTGCAAAAAAGAACGTTCGGAAATGCATGATCAGAAAACATTTTCGAATAACAAAAAAAAAAATTAATCATCAAGTGCACCCTGCGAATTTGCATCCCTGTTTCCTTCCGAACCCCAGTCGAAAACTTTTGATTTTTTCCTCCATTTGTGGGCCATTCGGTTAACATTGTGAAAAATACATTCACGGCCAGTGTTCGGAATTTACTTCGATCAGAGTAGATTTACTCCGGATTTTGAAATCTACTCCTCTACTTCGCTTCACTTCAAATCTACTCCATTTTTTCACTCATGTTCTGCTCTTCTTAGGCCACTTATTTGACAGTTAACTTACGGGTTTCAATAAAAAAAAAATTGTAGGTTAGGTAAAATATCGCCGATGAAAAGAAACTCACTTACAATAATTGGTCAATACAGCACGTTTGTAATTTTGTGATATAAGTATTGTAACACCTGGCGGATGAGAACTTTACTTAAGTTGTTAAAAAATAACTGTAGAAAGAAATTTACATAAAGCAGAAATAAAAATGCAAACCTGTTGCGGAATTTAAGCTTTTTTAATCAAGGGCTCGACGTCTAGCCGCTAGATTTGTTTAGGTGTTTGGTACTAGGCGATATGGATAGAATCCGATAATTTCGTAGTATGGTTGAAACAATACACCTTCTTTTTATTTATAAACCAAAAACTCCATCAATGCAGTGTTAAAGTGAATTCACCAAATATTATCACCTCGGTAACCCAGTTATCAAATCGGCCACTATGCGCTACTTACCCTCAAGCTACCATCGGCCTTTACTGCCAAATGGCCAATATCCTCCCATTGATTGGCAACTATATGGCTATATGGGTGCGTGTTGCTGGCCACCAGCCATAAACATTTCGAAATGGCGTTATATCGTAGATGCAGTTATGATAATGTGCCAATTTATATCCGAGTGTTCGGTGCTGTTTGGTGAAATGCAACTCATGTGTGCAAGCCTCGATGATATCAGTTTTGTATGTGCTATATTGGCACCATTTTTAATACTTTTCGAAATGATGTTACGCGCCTATAACATAATTTACAAGCGTGCCAGCTTTAGAGTGCATCTAGAAGAATTCTACAAGAAGATCTACATTGAACGGTAATATACATATATACACGTTAAACTCTTTGAAAGAAAAATGCGCTGTAGCACTAATACAATTTCTTCTAATACCACGATTTCTATGCAGTTCTTGGAACCCCGAACTCTTTGAGCAGATACGCCGCCAGCAGCTACCTACAAAATATTCCACATCGACATACATTATCACACTTGTGACCTACTTTTATGTACCAATTATGGGTTTGATACATCAACAACGCTTGCTACCCTTTCCGGTCATTTATAAATATGATTATAAAGCTACCTTTGCGGGCTATCTTTTATTTCTCGCCATGGCATTGTGGACTGGCTTTGCGGTTGTAGGACCTTTGATAGCCGAGGCCAATATGCTGGCCATGCAGATTTTACATTTGAATGCACGTTATACATTGTTGTTGCGGGATTTGCGCAAAATTGCTCAAAATGCTATAGAGTGGCACGCCATGCACAAGGGAGAGGGGGACAATGTTTCGGTGACCAGCCGTTTTCGCTATGGGTTAATTGACGTCGTACGCCGGAATGTGGAATTGAATAAATTCGCCGAGTCGCTGCAGGAGCAATACTCCTTTCGTGTTTTTGTAATGATGGCTTTGAGCGCAACGCTGTTGTGCGTATTGGGCTTTCTGACAGCAACGGTGAGTGTTCAAGGGCTGAGTGTGAGTTGGAGTTGTGAGTTATTCGCATTTTTAGATTGGATTGTCGACGGATAATATCAGGTTTGTTACCTGGATAATTGGCAAGGTGATCGAATTGCTAATCTTTGGGCGTTTGGGCACAACGCTGTCTACGACGGTAGGTATATGTAGTACTCTAAGCTTAATTTGAGATCTTTGTGTAATTTTCTCTTCTAATTTTTCAACTTAATCATTACTTTCGCTATACTTAGACAAATGAGCTGAGCACATCTTATTACTCTTGCGGTTGGGAGGATGTCATACTGCACTCCACGGACGCTGTCGAAAATGCAAAGTTAATGAAGCTTATGGCACTGGCAATACATTTGAATAGCAATCCATTTCGATTGAGTGGTCTCGCCTTCTTCTATGTTAACTATGAGGTGGTGGTGTCGGTGAGTTGAAATTGGGCGGGCTGAGCGAAGATTCTTTGTACTAAAAATAATTTTGAAAATCGACTGTTTCAGATTCTAAGAGGCGCGGGTTCTTACTTTACTGTTATTTACGCCTACCGTTAAACTGAACGAGTGACTGAGACAAAGGAGAGAATTAGTGATGAGGCTGAGAAAGATGGGCGAAGGAGAAGACAAAAATCTACAGCTTTCGTAGAAATAAGTACATAGTAGAAATTATGAACAAAATGAAAAAAATATAGTAGGAATGTAGTAATTATTTATTCGGCAAGAAATACTAATGTAGATTTAAATCACATTAGGAGTAGAATACAACTAGAAGTAGATACATCCACAAAATATGGCAAAGTGGGTAATATTGATAAAGAAGTATGTGACTTATAATTTTGGCACTTTGAATTTAGAAGAATAAAAGCTGTCGACTGAAAAAGTAATTAAGTAAGAAATGATTCAAGTCTGGGTTAGGTTAGGTAAGGTTAGGTAAGCTGACTATTCACTGCGTGACTTTGCAGAAACCGTTGAGGTCCATAGCGTTACCAGACAGCGTTGGACAGCTAATCACTGCGCACCATGAGCAATCTTGAAGAACATCGCAGTCTTCTTGGCAAACTGGAAGATCTTGTTATATCCTACCTTGGCGGTGGCTTTCGGATTAGTTGGAAAACCTGCTCCCAGCAGACAAACACGCAGTCTGCTTGCTCAGTCCTCTTTCGTTATGCATCTTCTACAGATGTTATCATTGGTCAGAGCCAGTTTAAATGCGTGCGGTGACAGCAGGAAATGTCCCTTTAGAACACCTACCAGCAGCTTAGCGTCCTCCCTTATGAGGGAAAGGAGAAACTTCTTGAGTTTAATGCCATACGCTCTGCACATATTACTGGACATCTTCCAGTCTTGCGTTTTGTTTCACGTCCACTGTGCCTATCGGATCATGGTAAAATTGTAGGTAAATTGGTACTTCCTCTATCAGTAGGTTTTCGCACAAATCGGCCTCTTTGGACAAGCCTTTGGGCCTCTTCGTTGCCCGTAAGACCTGGACGCAAACTGACCCTATATTCATTACACTATATTCCTGGCCGATATGTCCGCCGGCAAGAGATGCAGCAAGATATAAAGCGCTGAAGCTGGTGCAGTTCTGAGTGCCCCTATCAAGCCGATCGATAGATTTCCTTAGGTTTCCTGTTAAGCACAACAATTCCAAAAATCGATAGCCAAACTCACGGACCCATATACAACAGGAAAATAAAACACAGATCTAGCTATCGTTGAGATTACTAAAGGCCAAATCGCATGTGGATTACTTCAACGGCGACTTCTGTGGTCGTCGGAAAATTTCAATCCAACCACTTTTTTTTTGTGGTTCAATTAACGAAATATTGGGAACACATTCTGTGGCTATGGCATAATAGACAAAGAATCTGCCAGAAAATCTGAGCTAGAAAATCGGCTAGTCATTTATTTCTGCAGGCTCCCAAAGCCGTTGCTGCCACTAACTAACTCACGTACTACGAAGGTTTTATTATATTATAAGAAAACAATTGTGGCATTGAGTGAATCACTTTTATATGGAACAACATCATCAATATCAGCAATATACTTATTTGGGCGTGTGTGGGCGGCAACAAAAAAAAAAAAACTTGCCAAACACGCAAGAATATTAGCAAATGGTAAGCGATTGTGTTGAAACATATTTGTGTTGTTTTTGTTGCTGTTGTTGTTGTTATTATTATGGTAGCTATTATTGTAGCGAGTTCATAACATCAATATTATGTGCTGCATCGATTGAGACTCAAATACAAACATATTTATTTAAGTACACTGCGTATCATAATTATAAGCGCACCACATATTGACAAGTTTTAGCAAGTGATGAATTTATTTTGTTGATGGTGTGGCTCATTTTCTTTCATATGAAAAGAAATCATCGGAGGAAAATTCACAACACCGTCAGCAAAAAAAAAAAAATGCCAAAAATTTACGGTCAGCGCTACCTCAAATAAGCGTTTAATGGGCTAAATCTGAATACTCAAATTGAAATAACGAAAAATGTGGGCCATATAAAAAATACCATGTGGAGACAAATTTAATAAAAAAATTTTAATGCCCAACTTTGTCATTAAAATTTGTCTTATTTAATATGGAAATTCGGCATAAGAAATCTATTTAAAAAGCTCGCAAATTTTACGAAAGTTTTTTGATTTTTTTTTAAGTATTGCACAAATTTCAAACTTGGATTCATGCGGTTTTTGTTCAAGAATATTTTTTTATATAAAATATCTAAAGCTAAATAACAAGAGAATAAACATTACATAATTGTCCATATGCGGTGCGCTTATATTTGTGGCACGGGGTGTAGATTGGCGTGCATGTGGGCACATGCATGTGTGTATGTGAATTTGTGTGTGTAGTAGACATGAAGCCACAAAAAACCCTCGAACTGTGAAAACCTGCACGCGTGCAAAAGTGTTTATTGAGTTGCACACGTACACATTTGTGGCCGATTGGGTAGCAGGCGTGTGCTTGTGAGCAGCCGCCACCCCCAACTCTTCTAATACCCACACGGGCCAAATCACTTAAGGCATTTGGATGAAGCAAAGCATAATTTATAGCTATTTGCCAAAGGTTTTGTTTTATAAGTTAGGTTTTGTAGGTAGAATTAGAAGGACAAATTGTTTAAAGTGGGGATGAGGAAATTCACGCGATCAGACTAACGCTGCACGATTTCGATGAGAGCACAGCAAGTATGGTTGTATGTGGCTAACCAAAAACTAAATGTGGTCATGGAAAGTATTTGACCGAGCGGTGCCGGAGCCTTCTGGACCAGTGGACTAATGCACCTCCACTGCAATTATAACTAGAATGAGAAATTATAGAAAGGGGCGCTGTTGGATGCTCGGTACAAAGCTTCCCGAAAAAGGACATACGAAATAGGTATACCCCACCTTGTAAATTCCTGATCGTTCAAATGTGGACTACTTGTGGTTCAAAGTTTTAAATCTGAGCATTAAGGCGTATCACGATAAAAACTTTAGCGTGTGTCAGTTTTATTTGAATACTTATTTTGGGTGTAAATTATTTGTCATCGAAAAGGCCTTGCTCAGGACTAATCCTTTTTAGCAAGGTCGTCATCTTTTTTTGATGGATGTACTTTCCATCGAGTTTATTTTGATGTACTTATATATTATGGTGACTGAAAAAAGTGTTCACGTGTTGATTTTTTTTTTTTGAATATTCACTGCGTTTTTCAAGCTAAAAATTTTTATTATTTTTTTATAAAAATACTGTGCTTAAAACTTTATAAAAAATTTAGAAAAAATCCATCAAATTTTCATTAATATTTTGAACTTTTTTAATACATATGAGTCTTTAGAACTTTTTTTGGGTATGCAGTTTTATAGCTCATAAAATTTTAGTATAACAAAGTGACAGTCAGGAAAAGTATTAAAGTATTAAAAATCAAAGCAATTGAAACTTGCACTTTATTTTAACAAAATTTTATGAGCTTTCTTTGAATTTCAGACAAAGCGATGTTTGGCCTCGATGCATCCAGTATTCATTCATCGAGTGGAAAATATTCGATGCATCGAAGCAAAATATCGATATTTTCGATGTATCGATGTTTCTTCGACATTCCTACTGCCATCTGGTAAACAGATGCCTCTCCACGCTTAGTCCAATCTCGACCTAGGCCGTATCAGAAAAAAAAATTCGTCGTATAACCCTGAGTCTTCTTAAATTATTTTTGCAAGGCGATTTCGAAAAAAAAATAATGTTCTTTGGTCGAATGTAGATAGGGCTCGCCTTTTTACATTTCTCGTTTTATCTTTGGATCTTAAAGTATGATTTCTCGATTTTCTTGTCTTGAGGGAAAAAGTGTTTTTGTTTTAAATCTCGTTGACCTCAAGTACCCCGTTCTAGTACTTACACACCAGATCTCAGTTCTTGTCATCCTAATTGTTTTGTTAAGGGAATATTTGTATTATTCCAGAAGAACATTTTTTTGCCGAATGTGTGTAGTTGTTACCGAAAAATTTATAAAGGTTTGGCAAATATTTTTTTTTCGAAATTGCCTTGTAAATATACTGCAGACTCAGAGGTGTACGGCGGTTGTTTTTTTGAAAACTTATAAGGTGGTACGGTCTAATATGCGTGTATGTATGTACATACTTATATTGCTTAGAGCGTAGTCGGTTTAATTTAATTAAGTTAATAAAATTCTAGAAAAATTGGGTTGGTAACACTGTCTACATTAACACTCCTACTTTTTCCCCCGCACAGGTGGTTCTCAATCACTTGATAGCTTGTTGCTCAAAGTTTAGGCAATTGATTGATGTGGCGCGCAAGTGCATAACAAGGTGAACATGAGCGTTATCGGAAAAGAAAAAAGGTAGAGGGAGTAGCATGTAGCTCACAAAGTACTACGCTCGTTTATGCATTATATACCTTACTTTTTTCCATCCCTTTATTCACCACGCAACGATAATCGAAAGCGGATAAAGTTTATCATTTTTGAGGTTATAAATAAGTTGATAACGTGTATTACAGCACTGGCATACGAAATGAGGAGCAGAGCACTTAACAGCCGTTGTTAATATTATGAAAAAGTATATATGTACTTATGTATGTATGTACATATATGCTTAAACACAATGGCACACACACGGTGAGTGCAGAAGGAAGGAAATGTGTGGCAGGAAGTGTGTCAGTGCAGGCAAAAAGTGGGCTTTACACATACACTTGCATCGGCAGTTTAGAAGAATATACGTATTCAAGTCCGTTGGCATGTACATGTACATTAGACTGCCTCACTCCTCATACAAACAAAAATCGGTACTGTGTATCTTTTAGAATTATAAATTTATTATATTTTAAGACGTCCACCAAAATATCTCGAAAAAATATTAAGATTTACGTGAGCTGGACCGATTTGAAAATAACTCCAAAAATAGAGTTTTTTATGAATAAAAATAGTTTTTGAAAGAGTTTTTGTTTTGAAATCCCCACAAATGACAAAACGGGTTAAGCTTAAAAAATCTGCATTAAAATATTAAAAAAAGATTAAAAAAAAAAATTTTAACAGCATCAAAAATCTCATTATTACGATT